TGTTTTCTTGTCAGGCTTCCCCTTGGCTGTGGCAGGATCCTCCGCTTTCTTGTCAGGCTTCCCCTTGGCTGCTGCAGGATCCTCTGCTTTCTTGTCAGGCTTCCCTTTGGCTGGGGCAGGATCCTCTGCTTTCTTGTCCGGCTTCCCCTTGGCTGGGGCCTTGGCACTGGCCTTAGGTTTCTTTGCTGGGTGCTCCTCTGCTGGGGCTTCCTCTTTTCTCGGCCTGCCTGGTTTTCTCTTTGGCTGTGGGTTGTCTTGTTTCTCATCGGCTTGCTTGCTGCTTTTCCGTGCCTGCAAACATCCCTTTGCCTGCAGCTGCTTCAGCACTTCATCATACTGTGCCCGGTGCTCTTCCGAAACGTTGGATTTCGGCGGCATGCCGATGGAGGGTATACCGGAAAACGGCGTTTAAAAGACTTGATCCTGAAGTTTCAGCAGAATGCACCGAAAACGTGTGATTTCACTGATATGAGCATGCATGAGCCTCTATAAATCTCTGAAACGTGAATCACAGAATTCACGTCGCCAGGTGGTCAAGTAACAACTTTTCACGTTCAAGTAACGCATTTTCACGCGTGATTCCGTGAATTAGATTTCACGACATGTAGCATGATTTGACACATAATATGTGAATTCACAACACTCGACACATACGTGGCTATTTACTGCCATATATTGAATTCACAGGCTGCTGCACACAACAAGCACTGTAGATAGCCTCATTTTGCATTCCTGCACTGCCCCAGAATCATCAGCCCGCCTTTCCGTTAAAGGCAGGGACCCGGATATCTCTCAGATATCATATAATTAGCTGTCAGAGCAGGCCCATCTTCCGAAGCGTAGGATCCTAAGCTGCGGCAATCGCCCACGAACCTTTAATATGTGCTGAAGACCGAAACCGTCATGCCAGGTCTCCCAATGCCCTGGAGGCTGCACATGCTTGGCATTGAGATAGCCGAGGATGGTAGGCATTTCGGCCAAAGCTTCGGGTTTTCTGTGTGAATTCTTCGGGCCCTAGGCTATCAATAATATCAGGCTAGTGGCATCATCCCAAATATCCCCTAGCAGCCATCCATTGTCTGCAGTGCAGTGCACCACAAAGAGTTCATGGTCGGTCATAGAGGGGTCGATGGTGACAGCAGGGGTCTTCTTGGCGTGAAATTGCGCATCGAAGGGCTCCTGTACAATTGTGGGTTGGGTTAACATATGGTAGATTTAATGATACATGCATCGTCCCCGTAAGCCAAATTAGTCGAAACCAAGCCGTGAAAGAAGAAACCTCACAAAATGTCAATTCACGAGCGTACACCCAAACGTACCCGCCACAGCTACAGAACAGCTTTATACGTA